TTATTTAATCCAATATATCCAAAAGTATTAGTCTTTCAATATATAGTCAACATAAACAGCACTGATGAGATACATTACATTCCTTTTTGTATTATGTCCAAAACCAGTACATAGCTTCCCTCCTGCAAAGTACCTCCTTTGGGATCCGCCACATTTTAAGTGCTCAGCATCCATCTGGGGCTCCTCACTATTGCATAGCACGACACACCCTGCAACTCTTCCTTCTATCTTCAAACTTCCAAGCTCAGTGTCAGGAAAACCCCAAGACTCCTTTTCCAAGGGAAATTTGAGCTAATTTGCTTCAAGTCACTCTGTGGGACTGCCTTTCCACCGCAACACACATCGTGACCACAGCCTGCCTTCCCCATGTCTCTGCTATCTCTTCTTTCTTGTTTGAAAAGAAAGAGATGTAACCAATCCCATCCTTCCCTGCCTTCCCCGAGACTTCGCTTGACCAAATATCTTCTTTCTCAGTCCTCCCCCACCTCCCTTTCTCCTCAAGGTTTACTTGTTGCCATGACTCCCCAAGCTACTCTTTTTTATTACTCTGAACTTCCACCATATCCCCAACCCTTACAATAGGTTCCCACTCCCACTACTCCCAAGGCCACCCTCTGCAAAATTAGGAGTGACCGGCTGGTCTCCACCTTTAGTGGTCTCCAAGTGTTCCTCATTTCGTTGTCCTCATTTCTCTTGTTAGGACTACAACATTCTACACCCCTTTTTTGGGGAAGTTACTTTCCACTCTGCCCACTGTACCTTTACTACTATCATTGCCCTTTTTAACATGCTGGACTCTCTTTGTATAGCTCCACTTACTCCTTTCAGTCTCTAACTGTGGTTTTATCCTAAATTGTATCCCTGAGCCTCTTGAGTCTTTTCGGAGATTAGCTGCGTGCTCATACCTGCGATCATTATTTCTCCCCAGAATACACCCAAATGTACACAGTCCACCCTGTTCACCAAATTGCAGTCCTGTATTTCCAATTGCCGATTGTACATATTCTTCTGAGTATCATTGGATCTATAATATTAAAGACTATTTTAACTCAGGGCTACTGTGACACAGCCTTAAAAAAACAAAACAAAACAAAACAAAAAAACACGTTTACCTTCCAAGCTGCAAAAAACTTAGGGAGTGTTGTAATTGTCAGCCTTACCTCATCTGTGATGGCTATTTCATCGATGCCCCGTTATGTCAAAATGCCCTTTCCCTGTGGTCAAATCAGAATCTGGAGATTTAAAAACAAGTGTCATAGTCCCCCAAACCAGTTCACCTACAGATTTTCTATTTTTGACAGTGTTGCTAATCTTTCAGTCATCCAGCTTTAAAGTGTTGCTTTCACCCATAATTAGCTTTCTTCCTTTCTCCCACAGCTAGTCAGCATTCTTGTAAGGGTATTCAGCAAATACCCTTTACAGTATTTGCTGTTATCCATTAATCTCCTCAGCAAATTATTCCCCACATTGACCAACTATGGCTTTTTCCTTCATCCACTCTAGCTCTACCCTTTCTTCAAACTATTTTTACCACCTCCAACAATGCAGAACACAGTGTTTGACACTGAATCAGCATTAGCTTAAATGAATGTCCACTCACCCCAGCTAAATCTTACGTTCCTTCAGAAAAAACTTTATGATTGGTTGACTCCTGCATTACTAAATAATGGATGATCAATAACTATTGACAATCACTTTTTTTACTTAAGAAAAAACTAACTCCCATTAAATAGCTAGTTCTGAAAGCAGTTTTAAATACAATCATGTTACCCTAAATTAGTTTTGCATTAAGTTTTAGGATTTAAAGTGCAACATGAAAGAGGCAATTATTGTTTTGAAAAAACATCAGATTTAGGAGTTGATTCTGCTTCTGCTATTAACAATACAAGTTGGAATACAAGCCTCTTAACTTTTAGCTTCCATTGCTGGCTATATTAAGGTTTAAATTAAATAATATATGAAAGTGCTTTGAATGCTTCAGAATTGATATAAATAGAAAATCTTATTGCAAAGCACCTAGAATCCACAGCTTATTGTATTAAGGAAATTCTGTTGTTAACCTCCTCAGTAGAAATTCCTGCAATCTCATTGTATTAGTCAGCTTTTCTTTGCTGTGATCAAAATAAGTGACATAAACAGTTTAAAGGAAGAAAGGTTTATTTTAGCTCACAGTTTCAAAGGTTTCAGTCCATCGTTGACTGCTCCAAGGCAGAAACATCATGGCGGAAGCGTGCAGGAAAGGAAAGCTACTCCCTCATGGCATCTAGAAAGCAGAGACCAGGTAAAGTGGCCAACAAAAGGGGCAAAGGGCTAGATATAGTCTTCAAGGTCCTGCCCCTGTAACACATCCAGACACACCCAGAAGTGAGCTTTACTACCGAAATTGACACTCCAGATTAACAATCATTCTCAACAAGCTGGTTGGAAAACCTGATGCAGAATGGTTCTACAGTGTGACTTGGTCAACCTCTCTCCCGCAGATGATTCTTCTAGGAAGGCCTGGACTGAGTGCCTGCCTTTCTCAGGTTTTTCAATGTGTGACAGGTGGACATAAATAGTGAAGCTTCTTTCTAGAAGGAATGCCATTGCTGACAGGTGTAAGAAACCCAGGCAGTGAGGATCTGCTTGAAAATAGAAAATTCTGTTTCTTCTTTGTCTGACTACTACTTGAAGGGTTTCTTGTGTCCCTTTGTGTGTCACACATGGGGGGCCACCTTCCCTGGCACTAAGAGTGCTCCTTGTAGCAATCATGCTGCCTTGGAATGTATTTCTTTCTAAATATGCCTGCATCTGAGTCTGTGGTTGTCATGAAAGACATTCTAGTTTTGTGCATGTATTTCTTTGTTTTTATACTTCATTTATTTAATGAACTTTTCTCCACAAAGCCTGGCACGTAGTTCTTTCTCAGTGTGTACTGACTCGGTGAGCAAATGTGGAAGAAGGAATGCTTAAGTGGCACCTACATTTCCCCTATTCCTTTCTGAAGAAAGCAGAGTAAATTTGGAGGCTCCAGACCCCAAGACCAATAAAGGCCATTAGCCGTGCTGGTCCAGACAGGATCTACGATGACTCACATTCATTACTGCTGGATCTGCTCATCCTCAGGAGCTGTGCTTCTGTAGGTCCCTTCTCCACATCTGTCTTCTGCGATTGACCACCCACGGGTTGACTGCGGCTTGTGTCTTCCAAAAGATCCCTCTCCTTCACCATTTTTTCACCCACAAAAAAGCTGTCCCCTGAAATGTCACTGGGGGTGGTGGTGGTGGGTAGGGCAAGTGTGGGGAGTAGATTCTGTCTCCGGCTTCAGACTGCTGGGGATGCATTCAAGCAATTGTAAAGAGCACCTCATCTCTCAACTGATTCATATCCAGCCACCCTGAGGCAAGTTGGCTGTAAGGAGGGGCCAACGCTGTGCCCAGCAGTGTCCCATGTCACCTGTTCGGCTTGGATGGGCACTGGAATATGTGACTTTTCAACGCAGGTTGAGCACCCCTAACCCAAAATACAAAATATGAACCTTTTTGAGCACTGACTTAACATTAGTGAAAATTCCACACCATAACACTTTTCTTCATGCATAAAATTATTTTAAAATATTGTCTAAAATTACCCTTGGACTATGTATAAATGTTTATATGAAACATAAATGAATTTTATGTTTAGACTTGAGTCCCATTTCTGAAATATGTCATCCTGTATAACCTTCCAGAATCCAAGAGAAATCCAAATACTCCTTGTCCCAGGTATTTTGGCCAAGGGATATGCAACCAGTACTGTTCTTGCAGCTCGTCTGACACTCAGGGAGTGATCTTTGTTTTCCTCTGAGCAGATGACTGGAATCCAATTCTGTCTCCAGGTACAGTGCATAGGAAGCTAGCAGCATAAACCACTGCGACTTCCATCTGGTTGTGAGATGGAAAGTTCGTTCTTATTTTCTCTTCCTGAATACTGATTGACATAATGTTCTATAAAATCCATTCACTGCTGACCTAATTGGAGAATAGGTCTGCACAGATTCTTCAGCAGGTTTTATGCTTTTTCATATCCTGCTGAAATGTTCAGTATATTTCCTTTTTTGTGTCACATTTGCAACACTATGGCTTTAGTTTCTTTAACTTAGTTTTTTGTTTCTCACAAATTATATCATACAAAACAGTTTAACCCAAATGTCATCTCCAGGGCTGTTGACATAGCCAGCAGGCCCTCAGCTTTGCTTATGTTTCAAGGCAGGCCACATTTCTGTGCAGAGCATATGACGCTAGCAGAGTCTCCAAGATCTTCTGCCATGCTTCCAAAGGCACTGCCTGAGGCTCTGTTTTCAGTGTAGCTGCTCCTTCACAGCAGCAGGGGCATTTGTATGACTGGTATACCCATCTGTAAGTGCCAAATGAAACGTGAAATTGTCAGCAGGACATCAAGATATGCATACAATCAGTGCTGTCCAAAAAAGAACAGGTACTTCACAGAGTCCTCTGTATGTTCAAACCTGTTTCAAAGTTATGGAAGTCCAGCCACAGTATAGCTGGCATAGCCCACATAGATAATTAGACCCATAGAGATATGGCTTCTGGAGGCTTCTCTGTGAATTCATGAACTATTCTCAGCAGTGGAAACAGATTTCCCTAACTGGGGAAATGGTAAGTACCATTGGCATAGCCATCTATCCACTCACATTTAAGAACTCACAAGTACCAGCCATAGTGGCACACACCTATAATCTCAGCTACTCAGGAGACTGAGGCATAAAGATGGCAAGTTTTATGTCAGCCTGGGTGACTTAGTGAGAACCTGTCTCAAAGTAATACTTTAAAATCTATAGGGCTGAGGATGCATGTCAATGGCAGAGCATTTGCGTAGCATACAGGAGGCCCAGGGTCCAATCCCTAGGAACACACACACACAGACACACGAATCCCTGTGCCGGACTGGAACGCACAGTGACAGCAGTTTGTGATGCTCTAGCATTCGGTGATGTGCGTGTTTGTGTCCCCTCCCCACAGCCATCGACCTGCTCTACTGGCGGGACATTAAGCAGACCGGGATCGTGTTTGGAAGCTTCCTGCTCCTGCTCTTCTCCCTGACCCAGTTCAGCGTGGTGAGTGTCGTGGCCTACCTGGCCCTGGCCGCACTCTCCGCCACCATCAGTTTCCGCATCTACAAGTCCGTGTTACAAGCTGTGCAGAAGACTGATGAGGGCCACCCTTTCAAGTGAGTGCCCGAGTCGGACTGGCCCCCGCTGCCTCCCCTGCATGCTTCCCTTGCTTCTTCCAGCCCAGGGGCCCTTGCATGGGAATCTCTGAGACCTCTTGGCATGCTCTCAGGCCTGTCTCCAGTATCTAATATTGCTTGGTCGATCCTACAAAACTTGGTTGACCTTATTCTAACACTTATTGCTGTATTAAATATTTATAGTTTAATTTTTATGAATGATAATTGCAACTCATCATATATACATACTGCTTTATAATTTAAAGAGTATCCCACCAGTGACCTAACTGTGTAAGGAAGGTAGGGCTGCCATTATAATCCCTATTTATGGATAGAAAGACTGAAGTCCCAAAGGTAAAGTGACATTCCCACCGCCACACGGCCAAGGGTAACACAGAGCCAGGACTAAGATGTTTGGATTTTGATTTCTATTCTGTCATTCTCTCTGTCTCTCTCTGGATCTCTGTCTCTGTCTCTCTGTCTCTCTTTCTCTCTCTGTCTCTCTCTCCATCTCTCAGTTTAACAGCAAAGGGCCAACCTTCTGACGGGTTGAGCCTTAGCATATGCCGGTGTGTCTCCTCTATATTTTTGCACTGGGAATATCCAATTAGAATGAACACTGGAAAGAACCAAATTATTTTAAAAGGGGTGTTCTACTAAGAGAATATATGAAACGTGGCAGAGGGCAGTGCTGTCCTGGCCAGGTGCCTCCGCCCAACCCAGCGACAGTAGAGGGACTCCAGATAGTGAGCCTGGGTGCTGGTGCACAGACCGTCTGCAGCGTCCCCTCTCCTGCTGGCTGGCCCAGAATGTGGGCTCCCTCCAGGTGTCCTGTCGTCCTGTTATGGAGGGACGGTTCTGGGCTGTAGGTGAGATGTATGGACAATGCTGCAAAGCGGCGTCTGGGCCACAGTTCGTGGAGACCGCCTCAGCATCACCCTCACTTGCCCCCATCAGCCGGCTGAGCTGAGAGCTCAGTGGCACCAGGGTCCGAAGAGGGAAGAGGATGCCCATTTGTGGGGCTTTGTGGACTAGAAGCAAGAGGCAGACTTCCTTGCCAGTCTCAGGGTGAAACACAGTTGCAGCCTGGGCTTTCCTGCCCCTCTGGTAAAGGTAAATGTGTTCTATGGTGAGGTGAGGTAATGGCATTTCTGGGCCATGGTGCAGCTACACAAGTTCCCATTCCCGGGGTGGGGCGAACAGAGAGGTGGGATGTCTTCTGCACTCCGACCAGGCCACACACTACACCCACTTCAGCGGGCCTCGCCAGGGCCCAGCGTCCACGCCTTTATCTTTGCTCGGGCCATTGGAGGCTCTGCTGTGTTCTACCACATCATTTTTACACATGCTGGGCCACCAAGGCTGTGACCAGAAGTAGGGGAGCCTTATCTCTCATCTCCCTTATTTCTTCTAACGCCCAGTTATGGGAACAAGTGTCTAACTACTGTTAGGTTAGCTACTGTACCTTCCTTTAGGAGTTAAGTTTAAAATATAAAACTTGCTTTTGGCTGTGTCATCTTTATCATCAAAAGGAGTATCTGACTTGGTACATTTTTTTGTTTGTTTGTTTGTTTTCCAGTACCGGGAATCAAACTCAGGACCTTGCGCTTGCCAGGCAGGCGCTGTGCCGCTGAGCTAAATCCCCAGCCCCATGGTACATTTTTAATCAGAACACACTATCTTAGACGAATTGCTAGTTTTGTATTTTTTATAAAGGGGACAGAAAGCTATAACATTCACAAGTAAAGCCTGATTCAGTCAGTCCAGGCTCTTACTACAAAGCTCCACTGGGTGGTTTGAACAACAGGAATTTATTTCTCACAGTGGAGGAAGCTGGGAAGGCTGAGGTCAGGCTGCCCTCTTCTTTAGGTTGCAGACTGTGATCCTCTGGTCATGTTCTCATGAGGCAGGCAGGGGACGAGAGCTTTCTGGGTCCCTTTTATAAAAGGCACTAATTCCATTCATGAGGGTCCAGCCACCTTGACTTAATCACCTCACAGAAGGCTCTACCCCACCGTGGGGAGGGACTTCAGCACAGGAATGTAGAAGCTCTTTGTAGAAAGAGCTTAGGTTGAGTTGGTTTTTAAATATTTATAGTTTATAAAGTATATTGTGTTTTCTATATTTTATATAAAATATTTGCATATGAGTCAAACTTAACCACTTGAATAAATGAATGATACCTTTACTAAAAACACCACTCACTAGAATCTATGAGTATTTTAATATGGTCCAGGTCACTTGAGTTTTCAGGGTTCCCAAGATAAACTTAGAAGTGAATTGCCCAATTCCATGAATTCTTAAGAGTTTGATGAGTGACAATAATTGTCAGCTAAGGTTTTCAGACACTCAGCTATTTAAAGCAGATAGTTCATCTCTGTGCAGTCAGGTATGGAGAATTCAGCAAATGAGCTGAGTGTGCTACAGTCTCAGCTGGTCTCACACTGCAGTGTGTGGACCGTCTCAGTGCCCCCTCGCCAGGGGGCTCCTGATTCCACACTTCCCAGTGCCCTGGAAGGACGCACCCTGCAGCCGCTGGCATAGCCCCTAGGGCGTGACACGGAGAAGAGGCGCACTCACCTGGCCCGGCTGGGGCGTCCCTCTGAGGCAGCACTGGGGTGTCTGTTCACAGGGCCTACCTGGAGCTCGAGATCAGCCTGTCACAGGAGCAAATCCAGAAGTACACGGACTGCCTGCAGCTCTATGTGAACAGCACGCTGAAGGAACTGCGGAGACTGTTCCTCGTCCAGGACCTCGTGGACTCCTTAAAAGTATGACCTGAACTTCTTTGCTGATGGTCTTGGGTTCTGTTTTCCCTGAGGTAGAGAGTAATAAACCACCGCACTGCAAAGCATACTACAGAGGTGGTAATTCGATTCTAGAGTCAGAAAACCTCTGGTAGTGTGGCATCATGGAGTTCAGCCAGTTCCCTTCAGAACTGTTTCAGAAAGGTTAGGACCCGTCTCCAAGGTTGTCCTTACTGACAGGGCGCGTGTCAAAGGAGGTCACACAGCTACTATGAGTATTTCTGTACATTTTTTTTTAACTGGATACCAGGATATCTGTTCTTAAACCATTTTCAATTCCTCAGCCAATTCCCTAAAATTAATTTTTTAAAATCTAGTTTGGGGATGCTAAAAACACATTTACTCCGTCACGGAAAGGAACTCTATCCTGTGCTAGATAGAGTCTAGCACCTGGTCCTCCAGGTGTCCTGGGCTGAGCCATTTGAAGCAGAAGGTGTCCCAACCTCACACATGGCGAGGCTTTGTTCTCAGTGCTTTCATTGGGGTTGAGGGTTTCTCTGAATAAGCTGCTTTGGCTTCCTGGAATGTACAGTCACATCCATTAAGTATCATCCAGTGAGGCCATGCATGGAGAGGGGGTGGCCGGCTGAGGGTGTGTGACTCCATGCTCCTGTATTTTGTACACACGCGCACCAAGCAGGTCATGCACCTGACTGCAGGGTGGGCTCTGGAGCAAGGGCAGGGGGAAGCCCAAGAGGTACAGGCAGGACCCAGGTGCTTCACAGGAATAATGACTCACCAAGGAGACCATGACTGGAGCGCAGAGCTTTTAGGGTACCGTAGTTTGCCAACATCTGGCCTAGACTGTTATTTCATCATGTCCCTGGAATCTTCCAACAGTGTGATCCAAAGGTTCCAAGAGACAAGCGCAACCCTGTACCGGTGATTCCATGATGGGATTTGACCACTTTATTACTTTCTCATTTTCTACTGAAATAATTTTCATTGAAATTCATTTTCTAGTGCCCCTAATTCTAATCTAAAAAATACAATTAGGAATTCTAATTAGAAAAAATGGAAATGCTAATTAGAGAAACTTTGATTCTAATCTCAACTGAGGTCAATGGTATGAGACAGTTATCGGTCAGGAATGTTCTCAGGAGCTCTGCTGATCCCTTCACTCCTCAGTTTGCAGTGCTGATGTGGCTCCTGACTTATGTTGGCGCGCTCTTCAACGGCCTGACCCTGCTTCTCATGGGTAAGGACAGATGAAAGCTGGTAGCACATCTTCCTTCACATGCTTTAGCAATGGAATGCTTTCCAAGCTATTAGGCTTTAGCTTGTTTTAGTAGATTCCTCAGGTATCCCTGAGTCCAGAGCACTTCTCTTACTGTGCCAGTTCAATTAAGGAGTATAATATATATTGCACATTAATAATGAATTTCTAAGTATGAAATTTTCTTTGTCTCCAACCGCAACTGGTTCTATTTAGCTTCTACTATATGTGTATATATACTGTAGCATGCCATATATCCATGTAGCAGCTATGGGTAGAGATTTATTTTCATCTCGGGAGGGCTCAGCCCATGCTCACAGAAATAATAACATAATATCTATAAAGGGCTCAGATTCTGTTGTTTTTCTTATGAACTTCCCTGTCTTATTCCAAATTATGTATCACACACGTGTATGTGTAATGTTATAGTGTCACCATAGGTCCATAATTTTCAGAATTTTGCTATTATACCTGCTGTTCTTGTCAATTCTTATCGGTAACTCTCAGAATTTTAATACTGTATTTATTTTTCTCCTAGCTGTGGTTTCGATGTTTACTCTACCTGTAGTGTATGTTAAGCACCAGGTAAGCTCCCTGTGGCATCAGACATTCACAATAAATTTTGACTTCATGGTGTTTGGATGTGCCTATGATCTCCTTCTCTTTGTAGGCACAGATTGACCAATACCTGGGACTTGTGAGGACTCACATAAATGCTGTCGTGGCAAAGTAAGTTACATAGTGCCGTTCATAAAAAGATGTCACTGTTTACAGGCATTTGAATGAATTAAGTAGGTGTAATCAAAAGATAGTAAAATAACATGTTAATTTATGAGCACTCACTTAATCCTATGTTCATTCTTTTCTCAATTATATTATTTAAGAAAATGAATATAAATTGTAAACTCTCAATTAAATAAATCCTTCAGTCATTTAAACCATTAAGATTATTTTTAAAACTTTAAAATGTATAATTTTTGTTCCCTAAAGTATATGTTTGCTTATTTAATTAATAGCATTACTTTTTTCTTTTTTGGAGACAAAATGTCACTATGTAATTCAAGCTAGCCTTGAACTTACTATGTAGTCCAGGCTGCCTTTAAACTCATAGCAATCCTCTTGCCTCAGCCTCCTACATACTGGGATTATAGGCATGTGTCACCACACCCAGATAATATCATTGCTTTTGAAAACCCAGGTATTGAACAGACCAGACTGTACCTCCTGGGCTACTTGATAAATTAAGAGATAAAGATTTCAGTTTTTAAAAAAAGATCTCAGCTTTATGTATCCACAGCTGACATGACCATTTAACTTGGTAGTTTTTTCTAATTTTTATGTTAGTATTTTTAGGTTTGCTTCTGTCTACAATGATAGTTTTATTTTTTATTGGTATTCAAAGCTTTGTTTTAATCAGGTTGAGCTAATTTTCTGCTACAAATACATGTTACCAAAGGAGTAGACTTCGTCAATATAACTCCATCTAGTAATCAGATACTCGTGTGGCTGGACCTAGATGATAGGGGGATGTTTTATATAGTCAAAGATATAGTAACAAAATAAACAAGACAATCACTTTAAATTCTTTGTACTAGATTGCATGTCATTAGCTATAATGCTCTCTTGATATGTATAAAATGTTTCATTTACATCATTTATATTCCTCTTAAAATTAGGAGGAACTCATCAGTTCTGGGGTAAATGTGGATCTGTAACAGATCTGCAGCACATTTCATAATGCTTGAAATTATCAGCTTGGACTCAAGTGTAACTGATATCTGATGAAAATCAACAAATGGAAGTTAAAACAGTCATTTTATGTAAGAAATGACAGCCTAGCATAGCTTGGAATTTACTGGTATCTATATCTGGGAAGCCTGTTTAAAAATACAAATTCTGAGACCCCCACAGCAGACACATAGAATTATAAATTCTAGGGTTGGTGACCTGGAATTTACATTCAATCACATTTTAAGGTGACTTTGGCAGACCAAACCATATTCAGGAATTATAGCCCAGAGCTCCAGAGTAGGAGTTTGGAACCTGCAAGATAGCTGTTCAGTTATTAAGTTATCCATTACTTTGTTTGGGGATTCTAAAAAAAAAAATCACATTTATTAATTTTTATTTGGTTGGCTGACTGGCTCCAGAAAGAGGAATAACTATTATGTTTGGATACTGCATGTAGCAAGCAGAAAGGATGGATAGGTGAATGAAATGCTCTGTCCTTGAAAAGATTTCGGCCCATTGGTACAGACAAAATTGCAAAGAAATGACTTTAAGACAAAATAAGAACTAAATACTATATGCAGATAAAATATATCCATATATACATATTTATACATATACATGCATTTGTGTATACAAGTTATTAAGGAATAAATAAGTCTCCAGCTTAGAGGGGAAAAAAAGGAACTAAATACTAAAGTCAGGGAGATAAAGAAGCAATTTTTCCTTCCTAGAGTGGGTAACGGAAAGCCACTAAGATAAGGTGGTATTTGGCCTGGGCCCTAAGGGTTGGATGAACATTCATCTGGTGGATTCTAGGAAAAATCATTGCAAGCAGAAAAAATAACCTAAGAAAAGACAAAGACCTGGTAATACAAGTAGTGTTCAGGAAGCAAGGAGTCAGGCAGTGTGTCTAAAAATCAAGTAAGAGAGCTCAACTAGAAAGAAGGCAGAAAAAGAGGCTGAGGCCTGGTGTGTGTGCTCTGAGGAGGTTGACCCTGACCTCACAGGAAATGGCTAGTCCTTGATGTGGCTGAACAGGACAGTGATGTAATCAGTATTCCATGTTGTGAAGATCAACATGACAGTATAGTAAGAGAAGAATTGAAGAAGAGAGAGATCGGAGATGTGGTAATCAGCTATGAAGCTATCATAATTCAGACAAATTGGTAAGGCCAAAAGCTGCTTAAAATGTAGAGAATATCCTGCATACATATATATGCACAATGTAGTTAAGTTACAGTTGGAAATCAAAGCTATAAAGAGAAAAAGAAAAAATATGTTGACTATGTAGATTAATACACTTAGTTCAGTTGATCTCTACTCCATGCGTTCTGGTGGCTAGGACCAAAAATGGAGGGAAAGGCTATCTTGTTTATAGAAAGGAGGGAACAGCAGCTCTTCCAAAGAGCCTGGTGTATCTGGCACAAAAGTTTGAAAGAAATTTCATGTTGGGTTCTTACTTCTCAGGGCTCTTCAACCTCTAAGATGCAGAAGAACTTGTGCGACTTTAGTAAGCAGTCAAGAACACAATCGTTGGAATCAGATAGACCAGTTTGAGTCCATTCCTTGCATTTTGGCTATATGAGTTCCTCATAAACATTGTTTATTTTTGTGAACCTGTTTTCTTATCTATAAATTGGAAATGTTAATACTTATCAATCCTTATAGAGTTGTTGGTGATTAAATGAGACAGTATCCACAACATATTCTTACTTGGGTATAGGATACAGGATATATTAGATATATCTATACTTGGGTATAGGATATAGGATATATTAGATAGTCTCATCCCCATCCTCATACTCATCCTCATCCGACTCCTGCTCAGAGATCAGTTCTAGGGGTATTGGGGTAGGCTACATCAAGATACCCTAGTGGCAGTCTTTCTTCCATACTCAATGGCCTGTCCAGGTCATTTAACCTTTCTTTATGCCAGTTTCCCAGCTCTAAAGTGGAGCTAATATCTAATAACACTTCTTAGAGTTTCAAAAATGAGAGAAAAGGGCCTCAAGTTAGGAAAGGCAAAATACATAATGTAGAGGAAATTAAAGCTTTCAGAAAGTAAGAACATAAGAAATCTGCTCTAAGTGAATATGACTCCCTGTATCCAAGTGAGTCATAGTTCGAGTAGCAAAACTGCCTGACGTTTCATGTAGAAGCTCCTTTAGTGATCTTTGATAAATCTTACAGAATGAAGGACATGCCTAAAAACTGAAATTGAACAGAAGCTATTCTGATTTTCAAATAACAACAAAGAATAAATTCTGGAGCTTATTTTTACATGAGTTAAATGCCTAATTTTAAGCAAAATTCTAGAATGTATTCACTAAAACATAGTACTCAGAGTATGTTGGGTAATGGAAAGATCCCATAGACTGCTTTGACCAGCGAGCATTCTGATTTCAGAGGGGCGTTCAGCGAGTCTCCCTGGGCCCTTACATAGGAAAATGGTGACGTACAGTCTAGGTGAAAGCACAGTTTGTAGACTATTAGGTTAAAATAATAGAGCTGCAGGACGTTCATGAAGCCATCAAATGTCGGTCTCATGTGAAATGTAGAGCCCTGACTTTGACCCCCATTACTTCTCATGACTGTGTGAACGTAAATACAATTATTAGAGTTCTAAGTGACACACAGATTGGAGCAACAGCAAACTTAGTAAAAGACAAGGCGAAGATTCACAGTGAATCAAGGGATGTTGAGTAAGCTAACATGTTGGATTGGAATCAATAAAATAAAATTAATAGGGAAAGTAAAGTACTATGCTTGGATTTTTAAAAAGTCAACTTTTTATAGACTAGGGAAAGGGTATGGATAGAACATAACCATAGTGTATGTGAATATATAATTGATTAATTGATCACAGCCAAGTATGAGTCTGCCTTAGTCACGTTCCCATTCCTGGAACACAATACCCACACCCACAACTTAAAGGAGATGTTTGTTTTGGTTCATAGTTTCAGAAGTTTCAGTCCGCAGTCAGCAGCGCCGAGGCAGAACCACACAACAGAGGGCTGCAGGGCAGGAAAGCTGCGCGTGTCGTGGTGGCCAGGAAGCCGAGAGAGGGAGGGGCCAGGGAGGGAGACGCCCCCTTCCAGGTCACGCCCCAGTGGTCAGCCTCTTCCGACCAGACCCACCTCCTGACAGCACATTTAGCTATGAACTCATCCAGTCAGCTTCCAAAAGCCCTGCCTATTTCACCTGAGGCACGTCGGGAACATCTCCATCTAAACCATAACAGAATTGGTGATCTGATGAGCCATCTTTCCAAAAGAGATGTTATAACTGAAGTATGAAGTCTAAATGGAAAGAGGCTGCAGTTGCTGTATTCTGCATTGCTCATTCCATACCTGTGTTTAATGCATTTCAGAGTTGGACATATTAAGAGATGTGTCAGTATACAAGAGTATGGCAGAAAGATGACCAAGATATTGGGGTACCAGAAATCTGAAGTCATGACCAATGAAGGGTAAACCTTACTTAAGATGATTACCCTGAGAGTGAGATGCCTTTGAAAGAATTCAATAGACATCCCCAAATATTTAGAGGCCTAACATTGTAACGCAGGTAAACATGGAAAGCCAATTGGTTGATGTAAGTCCTGCTCAGAGCTGCTTCATAGTGGTCTCTATCAATTTCTCTATTGTTTCACACAGCCACTGTCATAATCTTAAAACTTGAATCATATCACTCCCTGTGTAAAATTTGTCAATGGCTTCCCATAGCACTGAACAGAATCTACCCCTTACCCTGGGTTCCAACACCACATAGCCACTGCCCACCTCTCAGACCTCCTCTCTCCAAGCTCTGCTCCCACCAGCCATGCCCAAGCTTGAGTCTCTGCAGTGGCCAATTCATCTGCCTAAAACCTCCAGACCTCTGTCTGGAATGTGGGCTCCTTCCTGTGTGATGGGCATCTGTTTCTAGGGTCGATGGATTTAAAATAGCACTATCCACTTTACCATGGAGCCCTCTCCCTTCCTATCACAAAGCCTGATTCTGCTCTATGGAATGTGTCACTATCGGAACTTCCCTTGTCTACTTGCTGATTTCCTCTCTTCTGAATCCCTGCAAGAGAGAAAGCTCCATGAGAGCAGGCACCTCCTCCCTTCTGCTGAGCACTCATTTCCAGAATGCCACACGCTCCCAATCACAACCTGTATGGTGAGCTCATGAAGCTTTAGCTTAACACAGGAAAAGCTTCTGGTGTGAACCCATCCTCAAACCAGGCAGCCATACCACGAGTATCAGTGATTTTAGGAGCCTCAATGGAGTCTGGTCCACCCGCATGGTAAGATGAGTCTTGAAGACCAGAAAAGTTCATCAGCTGAATGAGCAACATAGCTTGGACTAAGACCCCAGTTTCTTACTTCCAGTTGTGGGTAGTTTGACCATACTGCAAGTGAACATAGGCTCTGTACCCTGGAACCAACCCTCCTCACACTTGTCTTCCTGGCATAGGAACTACACCCTCTCTTTCAGAAGTCCCCCAGAGCAGGTGGGCGGTCAGCATGTTCATCCAGCTAAACAGTTATGCTCTAAAGGGACATTCATTATCCAATGTTTACTCCCTTTTTATTGTTTCATACAAGAATGTCTAGAGACATGTATATAAATCTATGTCTTCTGAAATATTAAGCTATTTGGTCACTTAGCTATTTGAAGCAATACCTGATAAATACATGCTAAAATGATTTCATTAAGAACATTTGTAATTTCAGTTGTCTTTAATGTTGTCTTTTCAGGATCCAGGCTAAAATCCCAGGTGCCAAAAGGCACGCCGAGTAGGTGGCTGTCCCGGCGGGGACTGGACACACACAGGGATGTCTGAGTGGTAACAGCTTCCATCTTAATTGTTACTGCAAATCGATCGTTTCCCCCACACCACCATAATCTTAGAGGCAAACTTTGAAACAGCTGTTTTTAGGCTGTTCTTGTGCTCTTAGGATATTTGAGTCACTTGTGTCAAGCACTAAAGTATAGAGAAAAGTGTATTAGACGTGGTTTTTAATTTCGTGTTGCGAACAAAAGTGCATGATGGTGCGAGCCCATGTCGTCGTTCCTCCCTCGCTGCCCCCTCCTCTCCGCAGTGCTTCTTAGCTTCTCATGTCCCTGCGGCCAGGCCCTTCCTGCCGAGTGCTGACGCAATAGTGGAAGTCGCTTCTGTGTCTTTGGGTTGCTGGTTGGGTGAATCTTTAATAACACTATATAGAATTGTAGACTAATGTTTAGCGTTTTTTCCAAAACACACAATGTAAAAATTTAAAATGTCCACCATACTTACAGTAATCGGTTTTGTATAACTTAAAATAATTAAATGAATAAACCCAAAATGAACATGCAGTGCTTTTGTTGTATGGGATTGATGGGCTGATTTACATGTGTGGTAACTGAAAAGTACCAGCATGTTAACTTTATTACAATTTGTATTACTTTCTCTGTAGTTCCTAATGGACTTAATTATGGACTCTGGATATTTGCACTTATGTACTTGATACTGAATGCATAAATAAATGTTACTAAATGTAGAAAGTCCTCTGTCTTGACATGATCTTACTGGAGGCTGCCCAAACCATAAGAAGTGAAGTCACTTTAAGACACACTTGGAGAATAAAGGTACACACCCGCCTTGTCCTCTCTCCAGGAATACAGGGCCAACTTCAGCAGGGTTTATGGATCCTTTGGGTTTTTAGTATAAATCACTACAGTGAAAACTCTTCGTACTGTGTTCTGTGGATTGTAGATAGACACTTTAAACCATTTTTAAAAACATGATAGTAGTGCAAGTCCTTACATGAGCTTGTTATGTAGCACTGGCGTGAAACGATCACCTTGCTCTGAGCTCATGCCTGTGGTGATTGCTGAGCACCCACCGCGTGCTGCATGCCGCCTACGGAACAGGGTTGGGAAGCAGCGAGGACAGCTCCTGCTTCACTGTGCTGTCTTCTAACGATGGTGCTCTGCTTTTTTCTGTACATTTCAATTCAGTGTTGGAATCAAAAGTCAAAGATGAAGAGGTGAAAGTGAATGAAAGGAATAGCAGTAGGAGAAAAAGGTAGGAGGAAGAGGGCACAATTACTTGAACAAAGCTGTCTTTGTCCAGTTTTACTTGGGCGGATAAGAACTTAAGTAAGGAATTATCCTTCCATACGAAGTAATGTGAAGGTCACAAGTGCAGCCTGACACTGTGCCAATGGCGCAAGCTCCCATTTTGGTGTTGAGGCAGAGGGCTCCTGGCTACATGGAAACGCTAACCAGGCACAGGGCAGCACAAAATCACAGCCGTAGTACAAGCTCGTGCAGCAGAGGATTCTCAGGGAAGCTGAACTTTAAGGCTGGGTCCTGCCAGATAAAGAGGTTGACCCCACGAAGGAAATGCAAGCCACGGGGAGCCAGGACACGTGAGTGTGTGCATACACGGAGGACACTGTGTGATGAGTTCATTAGCGCTCTGGTATCTTACAGTGGGAATGGTAGTGCTGAGGACTGGCCGCACTAGGAAGAAACCTGAATACCTGTACTGAGGATTTAGGGCTTTATTCTTTAGATTTCAGAATCGCAGAAGATACTGGAAAGCAGAAGCATATAGGAGACTACTGTAGTATAATTCTAACAGCATACAGGTACCACCTGACTGGCCTTCTAGTGCAGCCACAGTGACAATAGAAAGGAGACACTTGCTCCTAACCCTTTACAGCAGCCTGCCATGCCAAACGCCTACCATGGAGAGGGTGCAGCCAACAGCATATGGAGAGAGAGTGCCCTGGAGCTGGTGATGGTTAGACATGGGGCTTTAAGACCAACACTGCCCTGGTAAGCACCTCCTTAGATTTTGAAGCTGGGCAGTTTACTTGCCTCACCCCAGCCCCAGTGATGTGAGCAAGAGAACATAATAACCAGGGGCCCAGGACAGCTGGGTTAAGGAGGGAAGATAGTTAGCTTAGTCTGTTTGTTCCCAAAATACAGGATTTCTCAGGTTGGTAATGGAGCTCAGTGGTACGGTACGTATGTAAGGCCCTGGGTTCAATTTTCTGCACCAAAAGAAAAACAAGAAAGAAGAGAATTTCTTTTTGCCTGTATGTTTTTCTATTTCCAACCTTTGATGTAAAATTTTTTCAATGTGGATTGAATGTGCAAAATTAACCTCAATATTGGCATTTACAGTGTTTTTCTTCCTCCTATTGGTCCCGAATTCCTTCCCCAAACAGCTGGAGGCTCTAATTAGGAAGTCTCCTTTCTGGCAGTGGTGAAGAGGTTCCTGGGGAAAGCTTCAGGCTTACCAAATGGCAGGTGTGGGTATAGATTAACAAAGGGACTATGGAACGTGGAATACTCTGTTTTTCCTAAAGGAACCACTAGGCATGGTGACAGTGGAAATGATGGGAATAATGTGCGCCCAGGGAGCAGGGAAGAAGAGGATGCAGAGCTGAGGCCCAGGGAACCCAGAGTGAGTGAGATGCTTCTGGCTGTGACCTATGGAAAGTTCTTATAGCCTGAGGATGGATGAATTAAGTAGGTAAGAGGGGGCAGAAGAGGCTGCAGTATGCTTGATGGATCATTTCAGGAATAAAAGAAGTAGAACAGTTAGTACATCTTTTTCTCTTTCCATACTCATATTAAAAGGGAGTTTGGGTTGGAGAGTATTTTTCAATCATAGCTCCTCTCAAAGTTGCAGTTCAGCTCAGAAATATAAATAAAGTTGAATAAAGGTCCACGGTTTCACCACTGCTGAAGTTGCTGGAATATGGCCGGAGAAAGGCTTCTAGGATATCTACCACGTGCATGGTGAACAGCCAGGCAGAGACCTGGGTCCGCATCTGTCTGATTCCCAGGAGGAGCACCTTGCACTGAGGCGCAGTGCTGGTCAGGGTTTCCTGCTCCTGCCCTGCACTCTTTCAGAAGCGAGGCTGCCTCAGCAGGATGGTGATTGCTAACGTAGGAACCCACTGAGAGTGTTAACCACCAGCAGGGATCTGTTGGGAGAATGCGAGGGTGTCCATGGTCTTACAGCAGGGAGACCATTTCTAAACACACAATGTTTCTGCTTAGACCTTTGTAGTTAAAGACAGAAGCACTTAAGTCCAGGCATTATGTAACAGTTCCACCACGGATAGAGGTGGAGAAGAAAGCGCAAGGCTTACAGAGCTTTATGTAATGGCTTAAGTTTATTGCACATCTCTCCTGAGCTAGAACACACGCTCATTGTGATGGGGAAAGAAAGTGAGTAACAGTGAGGCCACCACGACACTTCAGCCTATTCCAGGGGCTCGTTCACCTGGCAGAGCTGGGAATCAGTTCTCATTAACTGAAATCATAGCTAATTCGGAGTTACCTTTTAATGATAGGGATTAAGCAATAATTCTGATAGCAATTAAGCAATAATTCTGGTGTAATAAAATTACTTAGAGCCGTCCTTTATATACAACTTAATGTGATAATCTGAAATGTCCTCCAGGGTTTTTGTAGTGGTAGTGAACATCCTGTCACCATAACTGGCTTAAAAATAAAGGCGGTACGGCAGACCTTGAGGAAGTTGCCTTTTCCCCCAAGTGTTTTCCTTTTTTTTTTTTTTTTCTAATAAAGCCTAAACTGCAGAACATTTTAATCTCTATATCTTAAAAATTCTGAATATATGGAACTTTTTCTTTATCCTTTTCAGCAATATCTTAAGCATCAATTGAAGGCTCAGTTTTACAGATGGAAAAACTGAGGTATCAAGGTTACAAAGCTACCAAGTAATATTACAGAGAGATCTTTGAGGCCACTCAGCCTATAAGAACCATGATCCACGAAAACCTAAGACAGTGCTTTGGAGACTCAGAGATGACTGGGACAAAGGAAAAATATTACATCTGAGTCAGCTTTCGGAGTGGATGGACAAAACCAAAGTGGCTTCAGCAGGCAGAGAAAAATCATCTGCACTGCAGATGCTGGTTTTGAACAGATTGAAATGTGACATCCTGATGGCAGAGCTGAGTGGGAAGGTGTGGTATGGTCTACAAGACTAAAGGAGAATTGGGCAAGAGGTACGGCCTGAGAAGGAATTAAGTACATTCAGCTCTGTGTTAAGGAAGAACTTCAAGAACATGAAGAATTTTAAAGAGCATGGGGCCCAGGGTCAGTGTCCCCTTTCAGCAAACAGTAGGCAACAAGGAAGCCAGTGGTCGTAGTGAAGAAGGAAGGACCAGAGAGAGAAGGAGAATGCTGTGGACACCTTGGGGACTAGTTAGGACGTGAGTTTCTAAATAAGGTCTGGTGGTGAGTTCTGCAGGCAAGGGGATGGGGAAAATGGAGTTCAGAAATAGCCACCGGAAGATGAGGAAAAGCCAATTTAGGATTCAGGATAAAGGGATACATTATAGCTAAGATGCAAACTCACTTTTACAAAGTTTGGTGCACTGGCCCATTTTTCATTCCTGTAATGCAATACCTGAGAGTGGATATTTATAAACAAAAGAGGAGGCCTATTTTGTCCAGCTCTAGAGACAGGCAGTCCCAGTGGTTCTGGTGAAGGTCTCCAGTGTCTGCAGCACCCCATGGCAGATGGTACCTCAATGGCAGGAGCAGATGCAAGAGGAAGAGATGCCATCACTAAGAAGCCAGGGGGCAGGGCCAGTCTTACAACCTCATTTGTACCTTCTCCTCCCTCTCCTCCTCCTCCTCTTTCCATTTGCAGTGCTGAGGATTAAACCCCAGGCTTTCACAATGAGTCACATCCATAGTCCTTCATTTGTTAATTTATTTCTCATCCTGACACGGGGTCTTGCTATTTCACTAAATTGTGCAGGATAGGTTTGAATTCAAAATCCTCTGGTCTCATTCTCCCACTGTGCTGAGATGACAGGCATGTTCCACCATACCCAGCCCTGCAGTCCCATTTCTTAAAAATTCACCCCTTTAATACCATCGTGTAGAAGAGCTAGCATTTAACACATGAACCCTGAGGCCAAACCACAGCCAAGCCATAGCACTTGCTCATGAAGGGAACCACAGACCAGCTGTGGCAGATGGCTCAGGTGAAGCCTGAAGAACTGGGCATGCGGTCTGAGCACCACACAGCACAAAGGTGAGCAAGAATTGATGGAAGACGGCCTGGGGTGGGAGATACAGGAGCCCACGCTGCAGTAATGTACTGTGCTTCTGCTTTCTCCAAAGGACCCCAGAAACACTCAACTCCATACCTATGCAGAGGTCATCTGGTGTTTCCTGACATTTTGTTAATTAAAAAAAAAGAATAAATGACAGATTTTTTAAATCAAGTGGGAAATGTACTTATTCCAATAATCTCCACTGAGTCGTCTTTAGATGAATCACTTAATCAAATACATTTTTTAAAAAACAAGGATTAAAAACAGGGATTTCTAGAGCTGTGCCACATTCAGCATAGCTCTAGAAATTTTCAGGCTGAAGGATGGTGGGAGGATGGAGAGATGCAGATAAGAGTCAGAATATAGAAAGCTGAGGTCAGGTGGAACCTCCTCTCCTGGCAGGAGAGAAAGGACTGCTCAATGACCACAGTGCATTTATTTGCAG